CGGGGTGGTGAGGGGGAGGCTCGCTCTTTTTGCTCGCGCCTGGTCCCACGATTCGTGGGCCTTTCGGGTTGTTTCGTGCAGCCTGTGGTGGCGTTGGGTGGTTCCTCCTCCTTTGGGGGGTTCAGGGCTGGCAGGGCAGGCATCTTCTCCTGTGCTCTGTCAAGTCATCTCGAAGTGGGTTCGCTTGGGCATGGTCGAAACGTTCTCATCCCTCAAGTGGATCTCCCGCCAGTTTCCGGTCCCGAAACGGGACTATGCAGACCTCCGGTTCATTTTGGACTTATCTCATCTGAACCTGTGGGTTTATTGCTCCTCCTTTCGGATGACTACTGTGTTCCAGGTCCGTCTTCCGTTGGAGCTGGGCGCTTGGTGTCCCTGGACCTCCAGAATGCGTATTAGCACTTCCCGATTCATCTGTGGTTCACTGCTGGCTCGGTTTGTGGTGGGACGTCAAGGTTACCGCTTTCGTTGATGAAAGCGGTAACCTTGTCACCGCTTTCAGTGACAAGGTTACCGAAACCTTGTCATCGGTTTCCATCCTTGTCTACCCTGTCAATTCCCCTGAGAATCTTGTATGTGGTGATCATGTCTTCCTGAGCTCTTCTGTCTTCCAGCGACGTGAGGTGCAGTTCACTCAGTCCTTTCTCGTAACTCATGCCTCATAGTTCTGGGACTAGCCTAGTGGCATACCTCTGAACTTTTTCCAGTTTCGTCTTGTGCTTGACAAAGTACGGGTTCCATGCTGGGGCTGCATACTCCAGGATTAGCCTTACATATACAAGGTTCTGAAAGATTCTGAAGGCAGTTCTGATGTTAGCCAGCCTCGCATACGCTGCCGATGTTATTCTTTGATGTGCGCTTTAGGAGACAGGTTTGGTGTGATATCAACCCCTAGGTCTTTCTCTCTGTTCGTCTCGTGAAGGACTTCATCTCCCATTCTGTTTCCAGTGTCTGGTCTCCTATTTCCTCCCGCTAGTTTCATTACCTTACACTTTCTTGGGTTGGACTTTAAGTAGCCATTTGTTGGACCATTCATTCAGTTTGTTTAGGTCATGTTGTATCCTCATACTATCTTCCTTCATTTTAATCCTTCTCATAATTTTTGCATCGTCCGCAAAAATTGAGAGGAACGAGTCTATTCCTTCTGGGAGATCATTTACATATATCAGGAACAGTATAGGTCCAAGAATTGTTCCCTGAGGGACTCTACTGGTGACATCTCGTCACTCCGAGACCTCACCCCTCACAGTGGCTCTCTGTCTTCTGTTGCTTAGGTACTCCCTTATCCAGTAGAGTACCTTCCCTTTCACTCCTGCCTGCATCTCCAGCTTATGCACCAGTCTCTTATGTGATACTGTGTCAAATGGTACTGTGTCGTATGACAACCTGAGCATTCAACTTACAAGATTGGTAGAGCATCCGTTATTACAATAGCAATGAGTTCGTATCGGTTAATACACAGGCTTCATTCGGACTGCTCCCCAGTAGTTCATTTCCTGACTCGTGGGGGTTCGATGCGGTCCTTGGCTCTTTGGGACTGGTCGCTTCGGGTGACACGTCTGCTGAGTTCTCGGGGTTTGGTTCTCCTGGCAGTTCACGTTCAGGGGTGTCCAACATCTTGGTGGACGGCCTCTCTCGGTTCATTCCCCTGTCCACGGAATGGACGGTCAACGCCGACTCATTTAGTTGGCTCAACCAGACGTACGGGCTCCCGGAGGTGGACCACTTCGCCTTGGCATGGTCAAGGCATTTCCCGGTATATGTGGTGCACTTCCCCAACAGCGAGGCTGTTGGGGTCGATGTTTTTTGGCAGGACTGATCGAGGTGTGGTTAACTGTACCTCTTCCCCCGGTTCAGCTGTTGCTCCAGGTCCTGGCTCGCTTGGAGACTTACCAAGGAAGAGTGGTCCTCTTGGCCCCCCTTGACGCCAACCTAGCTTTGGTTTCAGACGCTGCTTGCTCAGTGTCACCGAGCCGAATTCGAAACTAGCATGACATCATTGCGTGTTGCGCCGCCGTCTACACAGCTCCTCCCCTCCCCCTCCCCGAGAAGGAGGAAGGGGGTGCTTCAGCTCGGTGCCGAACTCAACACCATGCTTGCTCGGTGTCCAAACCCAGAGGTTTCCGTGGCTCCGCCTCTCTTATTGGTCCGGTCCAATACGTGGCTGGTTCGATCTTCTCCTCGAGTCTTCATGTCTGGTATTTTTGACTCGAGTCTATCACCATCTGTATGATGATCAGGCAGCTTTGTTCATGGTGTCCCACCCGTGTGCTTCGTCTCAGTGGCAGTATGAAGTTTCCTGGTGGTCCTTCCATTTCTTTTTATCTCTTTGTAGGTGTACTTCGCTTTCTGTTAAGGTGGCCTTGTACTTTCTTTTGTAGCTGTTTCAGGACTGTCATCTTATGCCGAATACTGTCACCTTGTATCGTGTGGTGATGGCGGAGCTGCTGCAGCTTCCTTTTGGCATCGATGTTACTTCTGTACCTTTTTGCAAGCTGTCTCAAGCGTTGTTTCACCTCCGGCCTGCTCATGCCCTGTCCTGGTCGTTGGACATCTCTTATTTCTCTTCCCCTTGGTTTGTAGTGGCCCCTTCGGTTCAGGATTGTTTCTCCAAGGCTCTTCTCCTGTTGGCATTAGCCTCTGGGGATCGGGTCAGGAAGTTTCTGCTCTTTTGGCTCTGGTGATAGATTTGTTCATTTGCAACTGTTTCCTTCTTTTCCGGTAAAGAATGAGACGGCTGCTTTCCGGAGGGATCCTTGGGTTGATGATGCTTGGTAGGTTAAGCCAGGGGTGCATCATGTGTTGTGTCCAGTTTGCGGCTCTTCGCTGTTATTTGCACGCCACGGCTTCTGTGCCCAGGGACGCACTTTGGGTTGATCCGGTTTCCCTTCTTCTCTGTTCCAGGGGTTGGGTCTCCCAGGTCATCCCCAGGGTTATTAGGTCTAGCCACCCTGCGGTCTATCTCCGTGCCCACGATGTTTGTAAGTTTGCTGCTCTTGCTGCCGTCTTCAATAACATATCTTGGACTGACATTCGGGCGCAGCATTTTTGGCAGTCGAACAGGGTCCTGGCTGCATGCTATCTGGTCAATGTTCCTGGGCCTAGTTGGGCCTGTGTCGCTTTGGGTCGGCGGTTGCAGCCAGTTGTCTCTACTTCTCTTTGAGGAGCGAGTGCCGACCGCCTCCTGGGTAAGTCCCTCTTGTTTTCGTCTTGTGGCAAGTAGCTCCGGGGAGCGAAAGGGGCTTCCTCCAGAAAACCAGCGTTGAATGTAATGAAATGCCATTTTCTGGGTGGGACCCTGGAGGCTCCCCGGCATCTCTCCCTCCAGTTAGCATTTTTTTTTGTGTGTGTGTTTTTGACATCCAGCCTCTGAACTGGTGTTGGTAGCCGGCATTAGGGGTCTACCAACTCCCCCTGGGGCTCCACTTTCTCTCTCCCGGGAAGGGGGGAGCTGTGCAGACGGCGGCCCAACACCTGATGACATCATGCTCGTTTGCTCGTTATTCTTTGGGGGGATTCTGTCTACAAGTTTGACTTTCCCAGTAGAAGTTTCAACCAGAATAGGGGTTTGTTTTGGGATGCTTACCTTTCTGGGTGCCTGACCTGGTCGATGGCAGACACAGAAAGCTCCAAATTACATATGCAATTCTATACGCCATTGTTCCTTATGCCTCTCTGAGGGGACCAGGTTCTGACTCGTGGTCCCTGGTAGACATAAGAACTCCATTCACACTGACTGATGCCTAAGTCTAATGGTTCCTTATCAGCTTGAATAGCTCCAGGGAAGCCTCCGGGTCTCACCTAGAATGTGGAATTTCATTACATTCAACGCTGGTTTTTTGTTACACATCCACAAGAAGAAGTCCGTAGCAGATGCCTAAATCCCAGGTATCTATTTACTACTAGGTGAACAAGTGCATCAGGGTGAAAGAAACGTTGCCCATTTGTTTCCCCCTTCGCCTGGGATCAAACCCGGAACCTTAGGACTACGAATCCCGAGTACTGTTCACTCAGCCATCAGGCCCCCCTACATCCATCCATTCCCATCACCATCCATCCAGTCCCCTCACTATCCATCCAGCAATTCCCCCTCACCATCCATCCATCCAGTTCCTCCCTCATCATCCATCCATCTAGTTCCCCTCTCGCCATCCATCCAGTCCCCCCCCCCACCATCCATCCATCCAGTTAACCCCCTTACTATCCATCCACCTGGTTCTCCCAACATCCGTCCATCCAGTCCCCCCACCATCCATTTATCCAGCCCCCCCCCACCATACATCCACCCAGTCCCTCCACCATACATCCACCCAGTCCCTCCACCATACATCCACCCAGTCCCTCCACCATACATCCACCCAGTCCCTCCACCATACATCCACCCAGTCAACCCCCCCCCCACAATCCATCCAGTCCCCCCACCATCCATCCAGTCCCCCCCACCACCTATCCTGGTGTCTTCCCAAATACAATATACAAGTGTGAGCGTCACTAGACGGGTGACACTGGTAAACTTAAGCGAGGTCACCGGGGCACCAGGAACCACGCACTCAGTCGCTCCATATGTATACCAACAAAGTCGCAAGGTGAGGCAACGTTCATAACCCAATTCAAATTTTCCAAAGAAATTGAATTTGTAACCCGAAAAATGTGTAAAGAGAGATGTTTGCTCCCCAAGGTTCCACTGTATAATGTTTGTGTACAATGTCCTAAGTGTCAAACTTACATCAGGAGGAAAGTTAATAAACTACAGTAACTGTAACAGAGTTGTTGTAATTTTAAAACAGACTTAAAAGATTCCAGTATTTTACTGAGTTATGCATTTATAGTGAACCACTTATGAGTTTTGCTACCATAGTGAGAAACAGATGCAAAACAATGTTGTCTGTATTGCATGCAAAACAACTAATTTACTAACTGCAGTAACTAATTTACATCTGAACACTCATCAAAATACTACAGAAATCAATGGTCTTATCTTTTAAAAAAATTTTGCTTACCTGAAGGCGACTGGCTGCAACAAGATCAAGGAAAAGTATGGCAAAACTAAGCACAAATGCTGGAGTGTAGTCCTTCTCAGAGTTGCCAGCAGATGCATAGTCAATCAAAGCACCAGCAACAATTACCAATGCTCCCCATCCCAAGGACCCAAATAGACGCTGTTCTCCATATCTGTTCCCTTCACATCCTGCACAAAAAATAATATAACACTGTAAATATATTGGCTTTTATCTATTTTAACATCAAAATAAGAGAGAAATTTATTGTAAGCCATACATTCATCCCTAAATGGGTCATAATGTTTCCTGCTTTTTTAGGTCCAAAAATGCGTATAATGAAATGTTCCTTTCTGGCCTAGGCCTATGCTGCACAACATAGACCAGGAGAACGTCTGCCATGATAACACACACTTCATGGTCCATTACCATTAGCAGTGCAGACAAATTAAGCAATAAAAGATAGATTTGCCTTTCAAGGCACAACTGATTACCTTCAAGGAAGAACCTAATAGAAAAATATGAAAAACTAAGGCGACCTCATTCCAGTCCAGTGCCTGATTACAGAAAAGCATTGTTATTTGTCCTAAGAAAACAAGGGATTCACTTCCAGCCAGAATCTTGTACTAGGGACTCGGTCGGCCGAGCGGACAGCATGCGGGACTTGTGATCCTGTGGTCCTGGGTTCGATCCCAGGCGCCGGCGAGAAACAATGGGCAGAGTTTCTTTCACCCTATGCCCCTGTTACCTAGCAGTAAATAGGTACCTGGGTGTTAGTCAGCTGTCTCAGGCTGCTTCCTGGGGGTGGAGGCCTGGTCGAAGACCGGGCCGCGGGGACACTAAAAAGCCCCGAAATCATCTCAAGATAACCTCAAGATAGGACTAAGTAGATGCCTCATACACAAAGGAAAGTTAACCCTTAAGCTGCTAAGGGGTCCTGATGAGATTTACACCCCTGTGCGCAAGAAAAAAAAATTCTATAAAATTATTTCGTCTTCTAAAAATGTTAATTTGTGTTCCCTGAGAACGGGGGGAAAAAATCGTAGGTCACATACTTAGGGCGCAATAGGTCGAGGAAGTCTGGCAAAAAGTGGACGTTGACAGAGCGGTTGTCAGAGCTGGTCAGCGTCACCCGAGCTGACAGGTGGGAATTGCCACAAAGATATTATCACCTAATTATTTCAATGTCTCTGATTTTTTTTTATTTTTTTTTTGCAGTAATATTATTCATTAGTGTGCAGTGTGATATATTTATATAATAAAATGTGTGAACCATCGCTGTACTCAAAATTATGCTGTGCATATTAGTGATTCAATTATTATGTTCATAAAACAATAAACAAATAGTTTTGCTGATATTACACTCTATACACAGGTTATATATAAGTATCTGCATGTTTTGGTTACCATAACGAACCACTAAGTTGGTATTGTGAGTCGAAAAGCAACGAGGAGTGACCGCCACACACCAGCCAGCCATTCGTTGCCATTCTCTCAACATCGCCTCACTCGCCCACTTTCTCCTCCCACCATCCTGTTTTATACTTTATTCACAATATACAGACGTTATATATAAGTATCTACATGTTTTGTTCAACACAACTGTACAACTAAGCTAATATAGTTAGTTCAGGCACTAAGAGTCGTCGCTATACACACAGTCAGCTGGCGGCTCCCTCACTTATTCTAGGTCACACGCACTAAACTTTCTCCCTCAACAATCCTGTTAATGGTGTTATCTCACTATGTACAGACGTTATATATAAGTATTTATATGTTTTGTTCATCACAACTGTACAACTAAGCTGATATAGTTAGTTCAGGCACTAAGGGTCGTCTCTACACACAGTCAGCTGGCGGCTCCCTCACTCATTCAAGGTCACACACACTAAACTTTCTCCCCCAACAATACTGTTTGCAGTGTTATTACACTATATACACATATTATATGTAAATATCTGCATATTTTATGCACCGTAACAGTACACCTAAGCTTGTAGAATGCCTAAAGAGCATAGTGGCCACCCTCTACACAGCCAGACAAATCATGCAGACGACGTCACCTCCGTCACCCAAATGGCTCCTCCCAACATAATCCTTTTGCTGTTATTACACTAATACACACATTATATATAAGTATCAATATTTGTGTTCACCAAAGAGAACCACTGAGCTGGTATGGTGAATGCAGACAGTAACAGGTGACCACACAGTCAGTAAACGATGCTATCTCCCTCCGTCCCTCAGCATCACTCCTCCCACAGCGCTAATTATTACAACAATCCAGCTATTATCACAATCCTGGTCATTTTTATCAGTCAGGGGTCCTCTGTAATACTGTCATCGCTAAATAATAGCAGTTATATATTTATTTTGACATTTTTCGGCGATGCTGTGGTCACAAGCTGAACAGCAATGCTGTTCACTCATGCTGCGTGCACCAGCCTTGGTTGCTCCAACAATACTGTGGCTCTCACACCAGAGAGTAGTGCCCATTTTTTTTTTTTAAATGGCGTCTGTTTACAAGAGCCCTGAGGAAGCTAATGTGAACCCTATATAGCCGCAGGCCATTTGAATCGTGCCTGACACCCCTATGGCGTATATATACGCCATGCGCACCGTGGGACATGTTACTCATGGCGTATATATACGCCATGCGCAGTTTAAGGGGTTAATCTCTACAGTGAGGTTCAGGTTCCCGAGCAGGAACCAAAGAAAGTCCACTTGTGCCACACCTGGAGGAAGATGAGATGAAGGAAACTCTCAGAAGCAAAGTGAATCCAGGCTGCTAACCAGAACCCACAAATGCATTCATGGAGGAGGAGGAAGAGGAGGAAGTTAGCTCAAACTGCAACATGGGATAAGAATAAACATTCATGCTGTGGAATAAACCCTCAGGGGTCTCAACAGACAAACAGACGGTAAAAGGGTAACCAAGGAGCCAACAACCCCTCCAGACACTTGAGAACCTACAGGAAGAGGACATGTTATCTTGAAAAGCCCTGACCAATGGGAACACTAAACCCCACCAAAACATCCCATAGAAACAGAGGGGACATATAACTGATACAAGGCCTTGCCACCTCTGCCAATGAGCCAGGTAGGGGAGTCCCCAAAGTAGCCCCACAAGCCAACATCTGCTGGAACTTGCTGGCTCACAGTTAGAATCCACTTCACTGCCCTAACGAATGTAAAACTTATAAGCTAAGCAAACAAATGCCAGAGAAAGTCCTCTCAAGAGGAGATGAAGAGTAAAATGAAGAAGGAAATTTGGCACAAGGATTCAACACCAACCACTCAACTTCCTCCTCAAAGAACAAAAAGGGATCGACTGCCCCACCTCCTAGGTCAGGAAGGGGCTGCTAAAGATAGAACTGGGAGTCAATCCAGCAGCTGCAGCCATTCCCGGTAAGCCGCTTACTGAGAGGGTAGCTCTGTAACAGCAGAAGTCCAATGGCGACAAACATTATAAACCCATGGGTGAAAGGAGTTCTGAGCCCAACAGGCTGAGTGATGGAGGAAGCAAATGTGCAATGAAATTGCTGTCAGAGACCAGGAGCACCAACTTGTACTCTAGAAAACTGCCAAGCACAGTTTCTAAGGAGAGAACTGTCAGTGGATGAGGAGTCACACTGAGCGATGAGTATGAGTTTAGGCAGTGCTGACACCAACTCCCGACCTTATAATCACTCGGTAAGGGAAGAAATAAGCCATGCAGGACAATGACAATCATTCAAGCAACCTAAACACCATCTGCCAAAGTTTTAGATAAGACAGCTCAGAAATCAAGTGTGATGCAAGAAACACACTAGCACACTGCTAGAAACTAGCACTCTATCAACTGACCTAGCAGATAGGATAAAGTCCATGTACTACCCAGAAATGAGATGTTTCAAAGGGAGGCAGTTCATAGAGAATGCTGCTGAACCCCTCAATAAAGCTATGTAAGCTAGTCACTAAGGAAGATAAACATGGCTTTTAAACCCTGGCCACAACAGCCTGTGTAAACTGTCAACATTGGGCACATTTAAGGTGGGTAGCACCGGTCATGCATGTGAAGCATAATATGGAACAATACTAAGCCCTGTCACAGTATGGAACAGGTCCAACACCACTTGTCTTTAAAGTGGCTGGCTGGCCAATACCCTGGGTCACCTATACTGCCATCTGGTGACTGGCAGCCATATTATCATGGCAGAAAATTTCAGTGCATTAACAATTGTTTTCATTATCAGGGTTACAATTTTTTCCAAGCAGTTGCTTGTTTTTGACCACACTGGTTTTCTAGTGGGTTTCTTACTCAGTTCTGTGGTGATCTCCAATCACCAGGCTGCTTCTGTGCCTCTTTGAAAGCCTCAAATTCTCTGAAATGCACTCATAGCACCTCAGAAGCCCTGGTACATTCCTCAATACTTGGTTATTACCAGGTTGTACTATCAAGAAGCTTCTGTGGGGCAGACCCCTCCAGGAAAGTATGATTTGATATTAATTACAATTTCTGATGAACAGACAATCCAGATTTCAGTATGTTTCCCATTAGAATTTTTTTATAAATACAAATTTTGAAGATAAGGATTTAGTTCAATCTTTATAGGGATCTATTTACAGAGAAACCTGGGTTTGGGAGGATACAATGTACAAAGCCAGGGCACACATGATATGCATTGGAGAAAAATAATCATGAAGCAGAAATGAACAACAATAGTGGACCCAAATAGGGCAAGTTTTCAAACACAACTTAGCTGAAAGTGTGAAGCAAAGGGCAGGCCCAGTTAGAGCATGGTTGGGCACTTCACTGATAGGGTAGTTACCCTAGGGCAATGATTGCTTGTCTTATTCATGTTAGGGTTACCATTTTTCCTCAAGCAGTTACAGGGTACTTGTTTTTCTTCGAGGATCCCCTTGGTGGCTCCCTGAAGCTATCTCACTGAGATGGCTCCAACTACTAGGTCACATACATCAGTTGCAGGAGTCCTGTTTAGCCTACCAGAGCCAGAACCCTGACTTTGCCCCCTCACAGAAGCAGGAAGATGATGATGATGATTATCATTTCCCTTATCAGGAAAACATTCAGAAAGCCAACAAAGCTTTACAGTTAACTGTAAAGTTAATAAGAAATGAAGCGTCAAAACAGCCAAACAACTCTGCAAATGATTCAGTTACAAAAATTGGTTCACTCAAAATAAGCTTG